CAGTAGCCACAGCCGTCGCCATCACCGACCAGACTGCTCCGGACACTGCCGCTCCGCCCAGGTCCGTGCCGCGGGCCCCGCCCCCAGCCCGCCCAGTGACCTATGACGCCACCGCTCCTCTCTAGGCCCCCGCCCCCCGGGCCCTGGAGTGCCTCTACTATTGGCTGGGCGCCTCCCTCCGGGCGATTGGCTCAGATGCTAAGAGTCTGGCCCCGCCCCCTCACGTTCCCACCATGTGTGGGCCTGCCTGGGAGGAGCAAGAGGAGGGGGTGTGTGACGCAGGCCCGCGCTCGCTAAGGAGGTCTGGGTGTGGACGAAGTCCCGAGGGACAGAGGATCTCAGATGTAGGCCTACCGCTGGAAGCTGTATGGGCTGGCGGGGTGGGGGTGGGGGGTTGCTGTGAGTGACTTACAGGACGGACAACCCATCTCCTACGTCATCATCGTCATCAATATCACCGTCATCTACCGCACTCTATATATATACATCGTTAGAACATTCTACTTCACCTGCCATTTATTGAGTGCATTTTATATGCCAAGCAGTGTGATGATACCTTTACAGGACTGTGTCATTTACTACTCTCACCTCAGCCAAGCTGCATTCATTTCAACAAACCCTAGTGAAAGAGCTGTTATTTTCATTTTACAAAGAAAACTGAGGCTGCTGCCGGGTAAGTGACTTGTTCAGTATCAGAAGTCTAATAAAAGGGTTCTACCCGATTATTCTGAATCGGAAGCTTCTGCTTTTATCCACAAAACTATACTTCCCTCTGCCCTGAGCAACTTGGCGTTTACAAGTGGTAGAGTTCAAAGGGTGGGGAGAAGTGCCCTGATGTGCAGCAGCAGAGAGGTTGGGAGTGGGGACTGGAAATGTGGAGGTCGTGGGTTGAGCTAGTGACTGTGCCATCAGATGAATTTTTCTTTTAATTCTATTTTTAGTAGACTCAGTAGTACCTCTTTATGCAAAGCACTCACCTGGAGCCTGTGTGGGATTCAGAGATGTGAAGGACTGTCCCCACTCCTCCTCAAGGCAGACAGGTGGAGCTCTCTCATTCTTCTGGAGTCTAGCACAGAACTTACTGGTTGAATGAATGAATGACAGGAGAAGCATATGAACACTGCAATGAAGCCTTGATGGTGGGCTAAGCTAACCTAGTCAGGTTGACCCTCTGGGGTTATCAAGTGAAGAGTCTGTCTCAGTTTGGCTCTTGGTTGTGCCCATGCCCAGAACCCTTCCTGAACTTGGGAAATAGCAATGAAGAATTTAGCAATTCCGTCAGCAATTTAGTAGCATCAATTGGCACAACTGTATAAGCCAAAGTGTTGTTGCAATCCTAGGCTCTCTCATTGCCATTTGCTTTGTACAAATTGTTCCCTCAAGCCTGGATCACACTCAGCACCCCACCCCCTTTTACCTCCAGTTTGTTCTGTGTCACTGCCCTGTGTCACTGCTCACTTGCTGTCTGGTCACTGCCTGCATAGTGCCTCACTCATTCTGTGCTTCCTCTTATCACTGGCCTTAGTCCATGGTACTTGAATTTCTTTCTTGTCTGTCTGCCTCATTAGACTATAAACTCCTGGAGGGCAAGGGTCGTGGCTCATTTACAGCTGTATTTTCAGGGTCTAGCTCAGTGCTTGGCACTTAATGCTCAAGGATTATTTGAATAAAAATTGGACAGGGGCTAGAATTTCAGGTTGGCAGAAACCTTTAATGATCTATCCCAGTCCTAAACCTGTCCTTATTTTTGGGGGGGGGTAGGTAGTTAGGTTTATTTATTTTTTAAATGGAGGTCCTGGGGAATGAACCTAAGACCTCGTGTGTGCTCAGCATGAGCTCTACCACTGAGCTCTGCCCTCCCCACCTTTGTCTTTATTTTTGAATCCCAACGCCAAATGCTTGCTGAGTGAGGAGATGCTACAGCTCATTATTTTTCTTTTAAAAAAAACTATGTATGTATGTATTTAAATTGAGGTATAGTTAGTTGATCATTACTTTCTTTTGAAGCTTTTTATTCCCCTTTCTCTCCACAAGTTTGATGCTCTACTAGGAATGGAACATAGAGTGGAGGGAGATAGTCCTTCCCTGTAGCCTCAAAGATGGGTATTCTCTTTTTCTCCTCTGAACTCCCATGATGCTTTCTGTATAGAGTGTGAGCTCCATGAGGGCAGGGACTGTGTTTATCTTGCTCAACAGTGTATTCCCAGCCCCTTATTTGGTACCTGATATGTAGTAGGTGCTCAATAAATATTTGCTGAATGATTGTCATTTATCTCTTTCTATCCTATTAGGCTCTTACGAGAGGCAGTGTGGTATAATGGTTAAACTCAAAGTCTTGCACTTTTGGACTCACTCCGTTCAAATTCTCGTACTGCTTTTATTCTATGTGACCTTGGGTAAACTAGTTGACCTTTCTGTTCCCCCCTTTCTTAATCTTTACAGTAGAGATGATAGTAGTAGCTAGGATATAGTAAATATTTAATAATAATCAGCTACTGTTATTCTGGCCAGCAGGAACAGTGTCTGCTTTTGTCTTGCCACACTTCGCCCTGAGTCTTTACATATGAGTGCTCCATAAATTTCTGAGTGAATATAAAATTTTAATCAGTTTTTTAAAGTCCTCAAAATTATACCTATAATGAAAAACAAAGAGAAGTAATCACTACCAACCTCCTAAATCAAACAAATCAATTATTTTTTATCTTCATGTTGCCTTCCAGATTTTGTCCATAAACATCAGAGTCCTACAGCTTTAATCAAGGCAGAGATGCAGTGTTACATGATTTTTAAACAAAATATTAAGCATGTTTCATATTGCTATGTCACTGTGTTTTAATGACTGTGTAGTTCTTCAGCCAAGTTGATAAAGATGAATTATTTTATTGAATGATTGAGTATTGTTTGGATATAACAACAGGGAAACATTCAAGAATCAGGAAGTAAATCTGGCACTTGATAGAATTCTGGAGTGCAAAGTCCACTTTTAGATTTTACAGTTCAGAAGGGACATAGAGATATTAGAGAGAGACCAAAGAAAGCTGTAAATCTCTAAGTAGGTGAAATATAATCATATACTATTACATCTTTGAGAAAAATGAGAACTGTGCTATACATCTTGTTATTTCTTTATTTATATATCTACACCCTGTTACTTACAAGCATCTCTGAAGAGCGGTTGCCATGAGGATGCCAAAAAGCCCTTGTTTCCACTAAGGGCAGAACAAAAGAATGTTTACGCTATAAAGAGTAAGAGATTTAAGGAAGGACTTTATACTAAGTGATTTAGGAATGAGAGAAATTAGCCAAGTAGCTGGGGGTTTCTTTCTTTGCCGAAGATATTTAAGAAGACAGAGGTCAGTTCCGTTTTGTCTTTTTGTTGTAGTCGTACATGGAGACTGGATTAGGCAATTTTTTACATTCCCTAAGAACTACGCTTTGGGTAAATGTTTGATGATTGGTTGAAAGGTAACCAGGGGTAGGAGGGAGGAAGGGATGTCCCTGGCGAGTTTAAGTGGCCCGCGCCCTCTAGTGGTCAGACTGGGAAAGAAGCGTCCGCTGTGCTTCAGGCTGAGCTGGGAGCATCCGGGGGCATCCTGGTCTCTAGTTAGGCGCAGTGTGCAGCCGCAGCCTTTCTATCTACAATTGACTCCAAAGCTTAGAATTTGAAAACTGGTGGCCAGAGGGGCAAACTAGTTTTGGAAATTAGGAATTTGAGGCCTTTTGCCAGGTTCACTGCCCCCCAGTTTGCTTCAGGCTCCACCTGAGTTGGACTCTGGGAAGGTGAGAGGACATGAAAAGAACAAGAAGGTGGTCATCTTCTTCAGAGTTCAGGCAAGTAACAGGCAAGGGAAGACGCCAGGGTGCAAGTCAACAGGTAGCCCCTTGTTAGTATTACTAAATCTAAATTGCACCCTCAATATGTAAATGAGTGAAACTGAGGCTGCCCTGGTTGAAGCAGAAATGGGGACTAGGAGCCCACTTGACTCCCCCTTGTGCTCCAAGGGGGCTCCCTAACCTTCCTAGAGGCACTAGTCTCATCTAGTTTCCTTCCCCCTATTTTATAGATAAGGAAACTTAAGGTATGGGAGGTGGGGGTGACTTTGGACACACAGCTGAAGACCAGTGTATCTCAAAGACAGTGGAAAGTGGACCTTGCTTCACAGGGTTATGTTAGGATTAACTGAGATGAAGATGTAAAGAGACTCGCTCAGGCCCTGCATACAGTGGGCCCTCAATACATTCCTTCCCTCCCTCTGATGCAGGGGAATGAAAAATGAGATAAGGCAGGGACCCTGTGCATAGCGATCTGGAGAGGAAGCAGAGAGAGTTTCGCTAGCTGGACGGGAACTCGTTAATATAACTCTTCTGTGACTGCAGAGCAGCCTGGGAGCCAGACTGAAGGCCTGGTGGAAATGCAGCTGCCCCCAACCAGCCCCACCCTCACCCCACAGTCTCTCTCTACCTGCCTGGGGCTCCTCTAGGACTATCTCCTCCTCCCAAGACAGCCCTACCTGGACCTGATGGGGAGTGGGAGTTGTAGAAATAAACAAAGACCACCCAAATGAGAACAAACAGGATATTTACTCAGAGCTTGCTATATAGCAAGGGAGTCAGCCACCATCGCTTGTAATTTGGCAAGGATTCGAAGGCAGGCAGATGAGTAGGAAAGCTTTACAGTGAGAAAACGGAACGCTTCAGGTGGGTCCTGACTGGGAGCAGTTAAACTGATGGGGAAACCGGAGGTAGGCTAATTAGAAGGGGGCAGGGAGTCTTGTGTGATTGGTTGGTCCTCAGTTGGGAGTAGGGGGTAGAAGCCAAAAATAGGGAAGTGGGCAGTCATTCCCCAAATGACTGTTCTGGGTTCACTGATGCGGAGGTAGTGGTTTGGCTTCCAGGACTGATTGCTGCAGAAGCTGTGAGTCAGTCCTATTGTCATATATGGTTTGGCCAATGTCTGTTGTAATTCAGTCTCTGAGTGTTCTGAGAGGGAACCCAGCTATGTGATTTGGGACACAGTGCTAACTTCTCTGTGCCTTGGTTTCCTCATCTGTGAAATGGGGATGTTAATAGTATCTGTCTCAGAAGTTAACACATGTCAAGTCTTAGAAAAGCCCCTGGCATGTGATGAGTAGCTAACAAATGTTAGCAATAATAGTAACGGTTATTATTATTTTTTAACTAATATGATGATGTGGTGATGGTGCTCTGTAGTAAAGAGCACAAATGTTAGCAATAATAGTAACGGTTATTATTATTTTTTTAACAATGATGATGATGGTGGTGATGGTGCTCAGTAGAAAGAGCACTGGCCTGGGAGGAGGGGAGCGGGTTCTGCCCTATCACCCTGTGGCCTTGGGCAAGTCAGTCACGCATTCCGAGCCTCAGGCTTGTCTGGACTCTGATTTCCAAACGCATTCCCAGCTTGAACTTTATAAATTCCCCACTGGTGCTCAGCGACATCCTGCTGTTGCCCCTATACCAGTAACCACCAGCCTTTCTCCCCCACACCACCCACAGCCTTCCATTATCTAAGCTCCCGGCACACCTGGACCAGGTGCTTCAGTGCAGCAGGCTCTGCTGTCCCCGTTTTAGCCAGTTTCAGGTCCTAAATTTAGCCCTTTCATGGGAGCCAGTTTGCGGTGGGGGCAGGCGCTGGGAGAGGGCTGTTTCTGGTGAGGCAGCTGTGGAAGCAAATCAGACAGGAGGACCAAGTACCACACTCTGTTTTGTCCTTGGTGCCTCAGTCATTCAACCCTTTGGGGTCTCAGTTTTCTCATTTAACAACTAAATTTCACGTTTGTTGACTCCTTAAATCATCTTGTTATCTCTCATCTGCATCAAAACTGGGGTCTTTGGCCCCACATGGATTCAAACCCATCCAGACACACTGCACGTCTTGCGCTTTTACGTGTGTACTGTTGCACATAAGGCTGTTCAGTTGTGTCCTGAGAGCTGAGGCCACCTGAATTTTGAACTATTTAGGTTTCTCTTAAATCTTGTCCAAGTGCAAATAACATTGAGTGTTGTCTCAATTTTCTGATCATACGAAGGGTGCAGAAATGATTATGCCCCCTTCTCTGTTTAAGGAAGCTGGTGATGGCTTTTAAAATAGATAGAATTAAGTCCGGATTGACCATGGCATTTAAGGCTGTTCACGCCATGGCCCACCCTCATTTTCTATCCCTCCCCTAATCACCCCTGCCAAAACCTCTCACCACTCCCCAGATGTGCTCTTCCCCCAGCTTCACCTTGTTTTCTAGTCTATCTTTCCTCCTGGAGTCCCCTACTCAGCCAGTAAGACTCAGTTCAAACATTCTGGCCCTTTTGAAGACTTGGTCTTTCCATCTTCTGAGACCTCAGGGCAATATGTTATTACTTCCATTATTTCACCTGTTACTGGGGCCTTGACGCATATTTATATGCAAGCCCCTCGAAGCAGATTTGGATCTTCGTATCAGTATGAAGTATGTGCCTGGCACATAGATGATGCTGAAAAAATGCTGGGTATAGTTAAGGACACTGTGGTTAAGTACCTATGCTCTGCAGGTAGAGACCTCCATCTGAATCCTACTGCTGCCTCTTCCTTCTGTGCACCTCCCTGAGCCTTGGTGTTCTCATCTGTAAAATGGGGGATCAGTGATGGCGCCTGCTTCACAGCACACAGGAGGCTGATTCGAGCACTCAGCAGGGTCCTGCCTCCAGCAAGGGCCCTATAAATGGCAGTGGCTACTAATACAAAACTTGAGACCTGGAAGGAGCCCTGGTATTCAAACCCTGGCCAGAGGGAGAACGGGCTCCTAGAAAGCTGTCCTGCTGGAACCCAGGCTTGGTGACGGCAGGGGTGAGCTTTCCCACCATTTACAGACCCACTGTTTCTCCTCAGAGCCTCGTTCCTAAATCCTGTCCAGACCCTGCCTGTTCCTTCTTTCACTCACTCCAAACACGCAGGATGTCTTACTCCGATTTTTAAATAAATTGCACGCAGTTCAGGGCATTGGGGCTCACCAAATTCATTAGAAACCACCTGGGATTGTGGGGGGAGCTGCGAGGGAGGGGTGGTGAGAAGACTCACTCTCCACAGCCTTTTGCCAGAGGGACTAAAAACATCAGGAGTTACCCAGCAGAGCTGGGTGGAACAAAACGCCCAACAGAAGGGACAGGAGCGGGGAAAGCCACCCTGAGGCCAGGAGGGTACTGCGAGTGGAAGAGAAGTTTCTTTCAGCCCTAAACTCAGGGAAGATTGTAATTGTTGGCTTAACACTTTCATCAGGGTCAGGTTACAACACCTGCCCTGCAGGGACCTGGATCCTGGGGGGCCCCACCGCACAGCTGAGGTGGAAGGCTCTGAGCTGACCCTCGCGTCATCAGCCCCCTTGGGAGAAGCAGAGGCAGCTCCCTGGCTCCACTTCCGGGAGGCTGTTACCTGAACCAGGCAGCTGTGCCAGGTGCTGGGAGACCTGAGCGCCAGTTTCCCCACAGGGCAGAGGAGTGAGGCGGGGAAAACCCGTGTCAGGGACTAGGGGAGGGTGTTAATGACCCTGCTTAACCTGTGAAAGACACGGTTCTCCCACGTTCAAACAGTAGCGCAGACAGTGTGGAAAGGGCGCTCTCCCACGATGGAGCCCATCCCCAGGCCGCTTCCTGGCAGCCCCTGCGGGTGCCGGGGCCAGGCTCGGGTGCAGCTCATCCTTCGCCCCTTTCCATGGGGCCTGCTGGTCTCAGTGCAAAGAGGGAACATTTGTCTATTTCCTCCTCAGCCCAGCCCACACTTTCCTCCAAGGGAAGGCTGGTTTGTGGAGCCAAAGCTCTGTGGCTTGCCTGGGATGCAGAGATGTGAGGTTTCCCGAATCCCCACAGTTGGCCTGTGGTGGGGTCACAACCCTATCTCCCCTGAGTCTAGGTGAAGACTTAATGGCTTCACCAATACTGTCCCTTAAAGGTTGTGGCCTTTCCCCAACCCCAAAGGTCATGTGGAGGTAGAAGGCCCTGGAAGAGGGGCAGGAAGGGCTGCTGCCCCTCCCCTCCTCCCGGGGAGCTGGTGCTCTTCCGGAGAGCCGAACTGGCTCTTCTTGTGGGGGTCCCTCCTCCCTAGGGGAGGACAAAATCCCAGAAATAGGAAAGGGGGTCGAGACAGGTTTGGCAACTTTCTGACATCACTTGGAAACACTGGTTCCCCTTCAACCACGGGATTCCCATCAGGTCTGTAAGGCCACCCTCTCTGGGTCAGAGAGACAGCAGCATTGCGTTCATGGGCCTTCTCCCCGGGCAGGCCAGGCCACCCCGGGGAATCCGGAGAAGCTCACACCTCCACGTTACTCTTCTCGTCCTCCTTGGGGCTGGGCTCCTCCTGAACCTTCTTCATCTCCCGGCCCCTGACCCAGGTATAGGCGGAGGAGCCCCCCAGCACCATCATGTTGCTCATCCACCAGAGGAAGCTCTTGGTCTCCTCGTAGTAGAGGACGGCCAGCACCGTCTGGGCACAGGCTTTGGCCGTGCCAGACACGTTGTGGGTCAGGGGACTGGTGAACTTGATCTGCAGTCCTGTCACGTAGCCGATGGCAAAGCCAAACAGGCCCCCCAGCGTCATCACGACCCAGAAGTGGGCGCTGCCCAGCTGGGGGAAGTCGCAGAGGGCCCGCAGCTCGCCCAGCAGCAGGAGCAGGGGCAGGAAGAGGACGCAGGCGTTGACGTTGTTGTAGAAGGTCAGGCGCCAGATGCTGTCGTCCACCGCCGGGAGCACCTTCTTGGTGTAGATGGCATTGAGTGAGACGCAGAGGCTGGCGAGCACCCCAAAGATGGTGCCCATCCAAGACAGGGTACCCTCTGCGCCCTCCTGGTCCACACCAAGCCAGAAGCCACCTGCAGTGGGGAGAGGAGAAGGGCAAGGGATTGAGGATGGGAAGAAGGACAGGATTTTGCCACCAAGTTCACAAACTGTGTAATGCTGCCCTCACCAGCCCATCCTCCCTGTCCTCCTGGAGAGACATGTGTCCAAAGTCTCCACTACATGCCAAGCGCCACACAAGGGCTGGGGAAGCAGCCCAGGGCATGAACCCTTCCTCACGGAGCTCACATTCTGGCAGAGGAGAAACACATTAAAACGATTCATTTTCCAATGACTTCTTTAATTACAATTGTAATGAGGTCCATAAAACAGTACAGGGTGCTGTGAGAACCTGTAACTAGGTGACTGTGCTGGCCTGGGGCATCTGGAAAGGAACATTTACAATGAGTGCTGAAGGATGAATACCGCTATAGCACTTAGTGATGGAGGTGACCTTGGGCAAGTGACTTAAGGTCTCGGAACCTTGGCTTCCTGGTCCGTAAAATGGGAGCCTACAATGAGCTAGACTCACTTGGGGCCTGAGGTTTTTGGGGACAGTCACTCTTTCTGAGACTCTCATCTTCTGATACCTCCTGCTCACCGACACTCCATGGTGCCCTGCTGCCCACCTTCAAGTCTACATCCCACAGCCTGGCACGCTGGGCTTTCCACACCCCAGCCAGCCCTGTCTCTGTACCATGATCGCCCCTAGTCATCATTCTCATCTCCCTGCTTCTCACACCAGGGCTCAGTGTCCTTGTTCCTTCCCTGCACCAGAAACACCCCCCTCCTCCCTGGGAGATTCAACTCATTCTTCAAAGTCAAAGCCAGCCTCTCCAGGGGCAAAGTCTTCTTGATCCCCCAACACCCATACCTCTTCCTGGCCTCTTCCTGCCTGCGCTTTCCTTCATGACCCCTTGCCTACCCTGGGCTGCTGGGCACCTGCCCAATGGGACAGTACAGTCTCTTTAGTTAGACCCCACCTCCCCAGAAGGCAGGGGCAGAATCTCACACATGCTGTATCCCCACCATAGCAGCTGACACCGTGGTTTTGGTGTCAGAGAGATTTGGGCTCCAACTGGGTTCTGTCATTTAGAGGCTGGTGCCCCGGGGAGAATTCACTTAACTTCTCTGGGCTCCCATTTCCTTCAGCTGTAGAGATGTGGGTCACGTTCCTGACCTCCTACTCTAACCAATCTACTGTCCACCTTGCCACTGGAATCATCTTCCCAAGGTAAGAGCTGCTTCGGTCTCATCCTGGCTTAAAGCCCCTCTGTGCTTCCCCACCGCCCTCAGCAGATAGTCCAGACTCATTTAACTTGGGCAGCCTTATGGCTGGTGAGCCTCGCTCTGGCACAGCCATGCAGAAATGCACATGTTCTTTCTTCTGCCTAGAGCATTATCTCCTCACTCCTTCCTGACATCCATCTCGTACTTCCTCCAGAAGGCTGCTTGGATGACCTCTGCCCTTCGCCTCCCCCACCCCTCCCCACCCCCCATTCCCAACCCCACCAGGATTCCCGCAGCATCTTCCTGTCCCAATCACAGCTCTTACCCCTCAAATATAACCCAGTTACTGCCCTGCACCAACCCTATGCCCTCCGGGAGCAGAGGCGCTGAGTCTACCTTTTCCAAACTTGTATCCCCATAGCATGGCACAGACTTGGCCATCAATTCACATTTGTTGAATGGCTGAATGAATGAATGGAAGTTGTTCTGGAGATGGCTGAGGATGAAAGGAGACAAGGCACCGACTATATTGTAAGCATTCACTTGCAGTACTCTCTTTCTTGGCAGAGCCTTTGCAAACAGGTACCCACAGATCAGCTCTGGGGACACATTGAAGGCCGGGTCCTAGCCAGAGCACCCCCAGCCCTCCTGCTGGTTTCCTTCCGAGTCCAGAAGACTGCCACCTCAAGGTTCCAGTCTTAAAGCTCCAGAAGGAGCTTTTAAAGATACTGTGTGACCTGCGAGGCAGGGAGAAGGATGAGGCCTGGAGAGTCATAGGAGACCTATCGTCCCCCTCAAGGAGGAAGGAAAGGGAAACACTGTGGAGGGGGGCCAGGTACTGGGCCATCAGGCAGGCCAGTGAACGCACCTGCCCAGCAGCTATCTCACCATAAGCTACTTTGATTACTTTTTTTTTGTATATATATATTTTTTATTGAAGTATAATCAGTATACAATGTTGTGTCAATTTCTGGTGTACAGCGTAATGCTTCAGTCATGCATGAACGTACATATATTCGTTTTCATGTTCTTTTTCACCGTAAGTTACTACAAGATATTGAACATAGTTCCCTGTGCTATACAGTAGGAACTTGTTTATTGCTTTGATTACTTTTCAGACTTGGGCCTAGTTTCCCTACCAACCTCACCTGTCTGTATGCAAATTCTCCCACGAGAAGCCCCCCTCCCCCTCCCTCTAGGGTCAGCAGGACTGAAGTGGAGATCCCTGGGGCATTTGGCTAAGTGAGGCCTGGGACCCCATACCAGCTCCCTTGGGGAAGAAGTGGGGAGCAGCTGGGCCAGATCTGCCAGGGGTCTTAGTGGCCCCTCCCACCTAGACCTGGCAGCCCTAGATTCCGAAGCTGCTCAATGAGGGGAACATTTTCTAGGACAGGTGGCCTGGGATGGCCCTTCCCTGTCAACCAGTGCAACCCAGCCTGGGACTCTGAGACACCAATAAAGAATATGTAGGTCAACCAAGATGAAATTTGCAGCATCAGGAAGAATCCGAACAGGTTCAAAGAAAGATCCCATTCCTGGATGACAGAGCCCCAGGAGGACTGAAGGGGTGGGAAGCTGGGGTCCTCTTACCGAGCAGGCTGCAATAAAATATTCTGTGATCATGGAAATGTTCTATCATCTGTGCCATCCAACACAGTAGCCAATGGCCACGTGGGGCTCCTAAGCACTTGAAATGTGGCTACAGAATCAGGTCATAACACCTGCAATTGAAGAACTGAAGTTTTAAAATTTCATGGAATTTGAATTGAAATAGATGCATGTGGTCAGTGGCTATTGTATTGGATAGTGCAGTTCTAACCTCTAGGGGACAAGAACAGAGCAGAGTGGTTAGAAACATAGGCCTGGGAGTCTGGCCAATCTGGATTTGCATCCCAGCCTAGTTACTTCCTAGCTGTGAGGCTGTGAGCAAGTGACTTAACCTCTCTGAGTGTCAGTTTCCTTGTTTGCAGGGAGTTGATCATGGTGATGCTGCCATCCAGGGGACCTCTGGGGAACATAAGGAGATGCTATATGTGAATGATTAGCACAATGTCCCCATCAATAATTCTTACTTCCTGAGGATCAGGTCTGGAAAGACAGCTAAGTTATATCAAAGCATATCTCTTTCCACTGTCTCAGGCATTACTGTAAGCCTGCAAGGTCACAGGGTGATGGTGTATTTATTAAGAGATAAATGTCCTCTAGAAAGAGCACCAGATGGGGAGTCAGGACACTTGAACTCTTGAGAAGCAAGAGAGTATAGTGGTCAAGTGTTAAGGAGCCAGACTGCTTGAGATCAGATCCCACCTCTGCCATTTATTAGCTGTGTGATCTCTGATGAATTACTTAACTTCTCTGTACCTTGGTTTTCCTTCTGTGAAATGTAGATTATAATCCCATCTTGTGTGAAGGGCCCTGACTGGGCCCCTAACTTGCTAGGTGGCCTCCAGAATCTCTCTGGACCCCAGGCTCTTCCTCATAAGATTTTCACAACAAGGGAGCTGGGACAGATCAAGTCCAAAGGTGTTTGACAGGGTTGTTCTTTCGGGTTTCGGCCCCCATTCCTACCCCCACCCCCATGCCATTCCCCATGGCCCTGGCTGGCCACTCACCAATGATGATGCTGCAGGTGAGCAAGGCATAGAAGGAGGTGGTCTGTTTGAGCAGCAGGTAGGAGAGCAGCACATTGAAGACGGTGGTGAGTGAGCGGCCCACATTGTAGAAGGCCACGCCCACATACTTGAGGCAGAGGTTATTGAAGGTGATCATGCCGATGAAGACCACCGACAAGGGCAGGACACTGCGGGCCACCCTGAGGTCCAGGCGCAGGGTGGGGAAGTCCACGGCACCAGGGCAACAGGCGGCCAGTGTGCTGAGGCCCTTGCACAGCAGTGCAGTCACCAGGCATTGGTAGAAGGTGACAAAGATGGGGGTGTCCAGCCGTAGGGAGGGGCTGTCCAGCAGGTACTTGTTAAGGAACACCATGGAGATGGACGTGACCCAGTAGAGAGAGACTACCAGTGCGATCTGCAACGCCCGCAGCACAAAGGGCTTCTCCTGGCTGGCCTCTGTCTCTCTGGAGGGGTCAGAAGTCCCCATCAGCGCCATGTGCAGGATCCTTGACCGCTTCAGAGAGGCCCTGTTCATGGTAGCAGAGGAGCTGGGTCACCCTACAGCCGGACTGATTTCCTGGAGTCCAGGACAGTGAGCTCACTTCTGCTTTCTGCAAGCTGAAGTCCTCAACTGTCACACGGGGGGTGGTCTGGAGGCCTCCCACCCTTCTCTTGGATGGAAAGGTTCTGCTCTGGGGTGAGCCCCACAACCTGCTCCCACCATGAGGGGGCTCATGAGACAAGACACGGGAATGAGATGAGGGATGGGGCTAAGGTTGGACAGAGACGACCTGTTAGGGGAGAAGGGGCTGGGACCTAGCAGGGAGGAGTCACAGGAAGAAGGGAGGGGGAAGAGGAATGGAAAGAGAAGGGAGAGGAGGAGGAATGAAGTGCGACGGTGCTAAAAAGGGCGGAAGCAGCATAGGGGAGAGAGGCAGAGAGAGGAAGGCACGGGCTTCTATTGGAGAGAAGGGTTTGCTGGCCGAGATGGGGAGGCATGCAGGGAGCTGAACGGACGAAGGGCGTGAGTGGGGTTTGTAAAGAGGGGTGCAGGCGAGGTCAGAGGCGCTCAGGGCCTGGGTTCGAAGGACACAGGAGGAGGCTGGGCCGGCGCAAGCCCACGGCGAGCTGTCTTTCCGGGCGCCAGCCGCGGCTCGGCCCCGGAACCTCCGGACTTCCAAGGCCGCTCCGCCAGGCAAGGCGGGCCAGGAACTCATTTCCTGACACGCCCCGGACACCCTTCTTAAAGAGCCCGCACACCCGGTGTCTTCCTTAAAGCCACAGCTTCGGAGAAACGGCCTTCGGAGTCATGCTTGCGTCGAGGCCCCGGCAGCCTCCCATCCCTTGTGCGCTCCCTGCCCGCTGATGGTGGGGGAGGATCTCGGTAGACGAGGAAGGTTCCTGTGGGTGCTAGAGTCTCGGGCCCCTTTCCTGCAAACCCTCCCGCCGAGCTGCCCTCCGCCCCTGCTCCATCTCCTCCAGACCCTTGACTCCCCTCTACCTGGCCTATCTGCAGGTCCACCCCGCTCCTCATCCCCGGGCAAGGCTGCGTCCCCAGAATCTTGGCACCGCTCCGCGTCCCTCGGCGTCTAGAGAACTCCCCCAACAGTCCCGCGTCCCTATACCTAACCCCAGCCCACTCCTCCAAAACCTAGTTGCAGTCCCCTCCTTCCCCCTACTTTCACCTCCCCTATCATTGTGCCGAGCGTGAGACTTACAGCAGCGGCCCCCACCGCGGATTCGAAACCCTCCAGGCTCCCGGTTCCGAGCCTCAATGCAGCACCCCCTCCCCTCCTCGCAGAAAACCCTCTCGGTACGCCGGGCCCGGCGGCAAGCTCTGGTCTCAGGGCTGGTGTTCCCTGGCCGCGAAGGCGACCCAGCGCTCACCTCCACCTCGGCACCGGCTGCCCGCCCCGCGCCACACTGCGCCGCACCTGCAGCGCCGCGCCCAGGGCCGAGCCCGTGGGAAACGACTTCCTGCTCCCATCTCCCGGCGCGGGCGCCGCGCCGACGTCGCGGACTTGCTTCCCACGTGGGCCCGGGGCGACGGCGGGGCGCCCCAGGGACTGGCCTAACCTTGTCCCCGAGTTATCCCGCCGGTCGTGGGAGCAGGTCCCCTTCCCTTTCCAAGGCCACACTAGACCCCGTTATCCCGCCCAGGATTTCCCACTCCAGCTACCGTGGTTTGCACGTCCCAGGACCCGGCTGCATCCGTGGTCTGCCGCCGCGCACTCAGCTTGTGCTCCAGAAGTGGGGAACAGCCAGGATTCTTCCTGCCGGCAGTTAGTAGAGGGTCCCCCCCCCCCCCCAGGGATTGGGCCTGGGCAGTCACTTTACCAGTCAGCCAAGGAGGACCGACCTCTTCCTGGTTCATCAGCGTTGGGTGGCTCACTTTCCCGGAGTTATCTTTATTGTAAAACCGGGGAGCTGGACTATACCAGTCGGCCTCAACCTCCTTGCTCAAAACCGTAGCTGATAAGGTTGAAAGTAGGGACTACTACTTGTAATATTTCAAACACCATTTAATTAGTACCATTTAATTTATGGGTGAGATGTTTGAGATTTGCTTCCAAATTCCCAGAATACCCACCCCTCCAAAAAGAAAACCCCCAAAGGCTGATAGATAAAACAAGACAGACAATTATTGAAGCTAGGCATAGGTACATGGAGGGTATAGGAGTCTCTTTACCTCTGTGCATCTTTGAAAATTTCCATCATAAAAAGGTAAAATCTATGGAGTACATGACTTACTAACTGCATAAACCCTTACCCCAGTTTAGCATAGCCCTTTGTGGGCTATGGGACCTGGAAGGATTACAGGACATAAGCACTGTCCCACAGCCCTGGGGCAGGTGCAAACTCCCCAGGGGAGCTCTGCTCCATGTCTGTCCTTCTCCACTAACCTTCTGGCTTATTCTGTAACACCAGCATTACTCCTTCTTCCAGAAATGGGTCTTCCTGGTCTGGTCTCCAGGTGGAGGATGCTATCTGATCACCTTGTCACCTTTGGGGTCAAATTACCCTTTTAGGGAAGGAAAGGCTTAAAGTGATTAAGTTGGCCACCTTGGAGAGTCTCATTCCAGGGCCAGACTTAAAGGTTGTGGGTTTCAGTTTATTAAGAGCAACCCTACCTGCTCTTCTCTCTTAGGCCTGATATTTCACTGTGACAAATACATTATTGACATACAGGGAGGGCGGACTTGTCTCTGAGAGGCCCTGGTTTCCTGGAAGGGCCTTCCCCCTTGGCACACTAACAGGTACTAGTTTACCTGATGAATGTGCTGACACCCGGATCCCCTAGGGCAGAGATACAGACTGCATACACGCCAGATGCATTTCACTACGAGATCCAGAGACAGTCTATGCTGGATGTGTGGGGCACAGTCTGGGCTCTCCAAAAGGCAGGAGACCAAAGTGTATCCCTGTGTCCAATCTGTCCCTTTACCTTGCACCTGAAATTCCACCATTAGCTTCACTCCCTTGCATTAAGATTGCAACAGGCCAGTACAGTAAGTTTCACATGTTCCAATCCTTTTTGTTCTTTCTGAGGGAAAGGGGAGGCGGGGGCGAGGGGGATGTTTCTTGGGGGTCTAAGGCCTCAGGAATTGTGCGCTTTGCACAAACTGCTTGTACATTTTTCTTAAGGATTGTTAATTGTTTCAACCATTCACAAAGGATGAAGTTTTAAGTCTTGTCAAGAGTAATTAGCCAGGGTGTGAACTTGGTGTGAGGTGGAGCCTAAAATCATTAAGGTGGCAATTGGGCCCTTTATGGGTGTAATCTTATTTTCTTGCCTTGGCTAGGAGCTACTAATGATGTCAGAAGAAGATGATTTCTACCAGACAGGTGAACAGAACTAAACTCCAGGTGTGAGGGACAATGGATCGGTACCTGTAGGGCCTGAGAGCCCCTGGGAACATGCAGATATTGACTATCTCACTATGTGGTGGATGTTACCAATTTTCTACCACAATTCGTTCTTCCATTGCTCCAAAATAATTGGATGGTTGCCCAGCCAGAGACCACATTTCCCTGCCTCCCTTGTGGGTAGGTGAACCATATGACTTTGTGGATGGTGAAGGGAGGGGAGTGGTGTGCTGTACTTTCCATGTCTAGGCTTTAAAACGTTAGATGGGTCTTACTCTGTGTTCTCTTTTTCTTCCTATAACCCAGGACCCCACTGTGTCTGTAACCCAGCTGCGACCGCTGAGATGAAGTCAGTGTCTAGGGGATGTGGGAGCAATATGATGGAGAGAGTCTCTCTCTGGTCTCTTTGTGGAGCAGAGACACCTGCCAACCTGCCCTGTCCACCTGGAGACTGTTATACTAGAGGGAAATCAACTTATGTTCTTTCCGCACCTATACAGTGATGAAAGGGTCACTTTGTTGTAGCAGTTAGGCTGTTACACATACCCACCAACTCTGTATTCCCTTTTCCTCACATATATGTGTATTGTGTAGGCAAACTTGAAAGCATGACATTGTTAATCTGATCTCTCTCTCTTGCTTTCTCTCTATTTATCATCTGTCTATCCATCCATCCTCCTAGACAGGACCTAGCACAATTCCTGCCCCAGTAGCTGCTCAGTACCTCTTTGTAGAATGAACAGAAGTCAGACCACTGCTAAGAGTACCTGAAAATCAAAGCTGATTTAACACCTTTATTGGCCCTCTGCCTTGAAAAGCTTTCCTCATTCATCCCATATGGAATTCAAAATAAAAATTAAAACTAAACTGTTAAGTAAGTGTAGGCAGAGAAAAAAAATAGTTCTGATTTTTTTCATGATGATTAGAATGTTCTTTGGAAAATAATATATTCTTTCCAGGAAAAAAAAATATGTCTTTCCATTGCCGATACAGAGACACTACAAATTGCCTACTCCAAGAGTTGGCAAACTTTTTCTGTAAGGGACCAGAGAGTAAATATCTTAGACTCTGTGAGCCATATGGTCTCTGTCATTGCCATTCAATACAGCTGTTGTAGTTTTGTAAACAAATGGGTGCTGCTGTGTTTCAAAAAAAAAACTTTATACAAATAGACCTTGGGCTGGATTCAGCTCACTTTGCTGACCCCTAGTTCACCTTATGTGAATTTAACCTTTCTTACTAACATTACCCATATACTGTTGGTATGTAAATGTGAACACCCAAGAGCACTTATTCCCCAGTCTTCCTTGCAGCTAGATGTGGCCACATGACATATTTTGGCCAGTGAGTTATAACCTGAGAATTCCTGGGAAGCATTTGCCTTCTTGATATAGGTACAGTCTTGGTTGCGTCTTTTTCTTAAGTGTTCTGTCTATAATGCAGACCAGAGGTCTGGAAGGGCAGCAGACATCTTGTAACCTCTACCAGAAACATCACCTTTATGCCTGGGTCTGGCTTCTGGGAAGCACCTAGGTTTGGATGGCGCAGGCCTTTTTGATTCTTTCGCGATCTAGAACTGCCAAAAGCTTTACTCCCCAAAGCTCCTGTAACATGCGCCTGGGTAATCTCCAAGCAGGAGTGGTGTTTCCCCCAGATTAGCATCTAACCCTTGGGGAGTAAGTTAGTCCCTTCTAGTGGAGGGTGTGCCACTGACAGCTAATGTTTCTCAGAGGGCGACTCCATGCCCGGGTTTTCCATGTACAACATGGCAGTCCTCATAACAACGCTGTGAGGGGCAGCCTCTGGTTACAATCCCCACTTTACAAATGAGGAAACAGACCCCAGACATGTTGGATCACTAGCCCAAGGCTCCCCAGTGAGGAGGTGAGAGCTGTATTTGAACCTAGACCAATCTGACAAAAAACAAAAGTTTGTCCTGTTGCACGAGCCCGGCTCCTCCTGAGCTCGGGTTCCTGGTTGATCTCCTGGGTCACTGGTCCTATGGGGTGACCCTGGCATCACTGTCCTCTGTCCTGTTGCTGAAGGGCAAATGTGTGCCTAGGGCTGCACTGTCCACTGGGACTCGAGAGCCCTCTGGCTGATCCACTGTCCAATCTTTCTAACTTTTTCACCTATTAGCTTTATCTCCCACCTAGGTTGTAAACTCTTGGTGGCAGAGCGGAGAGTTATACAGTAGCTAATCATTTATCAGGCCCTGCTCTGTGCTATGCCCTGGCCTCAGTACTGCATGGACGAATTCCTCAAACCTCATGATAACTTTGAGAGGCTATCTTATTATTCCATTTTATGGAAGAGAAAACTGAGGTCCAGAGAGATAAAGTAAGTCACCTAAGGTCATAGGGGATCGTAAGTGGATGAGCTGGGATTTGAACCCAGGCCGACTGACTTACTCACTTAACTATTAATGTTATACTGACTCTCATTGTGGGTAGAGCACTTTGCAGTTTGCAAAGCATTTTTACAAACATTAAAGAAAAATTCTCAGCACATCAGATCTTCAAGGTCTGTTAGAGATTGTCTATTCTAAACCCTTTACAGAGAAGGAAATAGGTCCAGAGAGGGAGCAGTTTATGAAAAGGTGAAATGGGACTGGACCTCTGCTCTCCTTACAGCCCCGCAAACTTCAAGCTCCTTCCCTGGACTGGAGCCCCATCCAGGAGCACGGGGGCTGTGCCAGCGGCATCTCTAGTTCTTCAGCACCTAACACGGCACCTGGCACGCTGTAGGTGCTCGGGGGTTGAGTGTTAAATGAATGTGAATCTGATTATTACACACACCATTTCATCCCAATACGTCTTTGATACCCCCCGTGGCATGTAGCATGATGCTTGGCATGCAGTTAGGGTGTTGGGTTCAATTGTGTTCAACCCCCAAACTTATCCCCAGAACCTCAGAATATGAACTTATTCAGAAACAAGATTTTTGCAGATGTAGTTAGTTATGTTAAAATGAATTCATACTGGATTAAGGTGGACTCTAAATCCTATGACTGGTGTCCTTACAAGCAGGGAGATTTGGAGACAGAGGGGACACACAGGGAAGAAGGCCATGTGAAGATGGAGGTAGGAGTTGGAGTGATGCAGCTACCGGTCAAGAAACTCTAACGATAACTGGAAAGCACTGGAAGTTAGGAGAGAACAGATTCTAGAAGGAACCAACCCTGGACACCTTGATTTTGGACTTCTGGCCTCCTGAATTGGGAGAGAATAAATTTCCATTGTTTTGAGCTAGCAAGTTTGTGGTCATTTGTTATGACAGCTCTAGGAAATTAATGTGGTAGATTTGTGAAAAACAAAACCAAAAACTCTTGCTTGACTGATAAATCCCAGCAAGACCATGAGAACAACAGCTTTTTCTCAGTCTTGGCTGGGGGTGAGGGGAGGGCGGGTTTCAGCAGCTTACTGAATGCTTAACCTCCTCCTGGAGCGACATAGGGGCACAGAGGAAAGCTCCTTAGATTTCTGCTTCTTGGCCTGGTTACCTCAATCTTGAGACTTTGGATAATTTCTCTACCTTTCCAGATCTCAGTTTTCTCATCAGTAAAATGGGAGGGGAGTCAAGCTTGCTGGTCCCTCAGGTAAAAGACTGGTTCTTGTCCTAGGTGGTATGTGGAGGGGCAAGGGAGAGCTTGGTGAAGCAAAATGGAATGTACTGGCTTATGTCACTGAGAAGTCCAGAGGGAGTGGCTGGCTGTAGGTGCAGCTTGACCCAGCAGCTCAAACAATGTCATCAAACAGATCCTGGTCTGGGCTCTTCTCCAAGTGTTGGCTTTATCCTCAGGCTCCATGAGATGGCAAAATAGCTTCAAGCATTCCAGACCTTACACCATTCGGGTTTTTTTTTTAATAGACTTTATTTTTTAGAACACTTTTAGGTTCACAGCAAAACTGAGCTAAAGGTACAGAGATTTCCAGTAACCCCCCTGTCCTCACACATGCACAGCCTCCCCCATTAACATCGCCCACCAGACTGGTACTTTTGTTAGGATCAATGAACCTACACTGACGCATCGTTATCACACAGAGTCTGTAGTTTACATTAGGGTTTGCTCTTGGTGTTATACATTCTGAGTTTGGACAAATGTATAATGACATATATCTACCATTATAGTCTCATACAGATTCATGCCCAGTCATAAAACACCACTCAATTTTAAGTCTGGTGGGGAAAGAAAAATTACTGTTTCTCAGAAACCTTGAGGTTTACTCTCATTGGCCCAGCTCAAGTCATATGACCCCCCTTGACCAATGATTGTGACCAGGTGGATAAATCTAACCTCTGGCTTAAGCCCTGCCTAACAAGCTCCATCCCTGGGACCCAGAAAAGATGGTCTGAGAGCAGCGAAGCTTTGGCTGGGGAAGTAAAATTTAGGAGGTGTTGCCAGAAGAGGGAGGATGGACGCTGAACTGGCAAACTGCTGGTGTCCGCTGTGTGGGATCTGTATTGGATGGGGAAGAGGGTATATGGAAGGTTGGCTAAACCTCTTCCTTCCTCCTTTGCTCCTGTGGTTCCACCTTGTTCCGTGCACTCCCACCCGCCCTATACCTGGCTAACTTCTTGTCCGTAGGACTCAGTGCAGACATAACTTCCTTAGGGAGACTATGAAATTAGATTAGTTCCCCCTGTTCTGCACTCCTGCCATTTCCCTTTGTCGATGAGGTGTGAAGACAGGATACACAGGAGGCACCTGTTCTTTTGGGTAAGACCATCTTCATCTCTTTTTGGGAGTGCCCCTTCTTAGCCTCTTGCAGTCTTTGGGGAGCATCAGTCTACTGCTGGCTTTCCTCCAGCCAAAGGGATGGGTATGACCAAAAAGTCCATTGCTTAATTTTTTCCTTCTCTGAAATGGAACAGAGACAACACAAAATCTAAAATGGGTTACTGCTGATTCATGGTGGCAGCAATGCCCAGAAAGCCCACTTACCATTTCCTGTCACTGAGATCCCTCAGAGCTGTCCTGGAGATGTGCTCCCCGGCCTTATTCTTCAGCTTTTCCCTTGGTTCTGCAAGCAGTCTTGGACTCTTCCAATAGCCTCTTTTTTTGCCATTGTCAAGTCAAGTCAACTTGACATATTGCCATATGTCAAGTTGGCTGGAGTCTATACCTATTGCTTGCAATCAAAGAACCCTAGATGCTACCGTGGGCACTTCCTTCTGTCCGAGAGGACGTGTCAGGGCAGGAACCGGCCAGCTCCAGGGAGTGAATCTAGCCAGCCTAGCCCCACTTCTCCCCATGTGCTAGATATCCAAGCACAGGGTGGAAGAAAGGAAAAGGGCAGGGCAGAGGAAGTGTAGATCAGGGTGTGTAAATACTGATATGTTTGCAGAAGGGCTGCCAGCAGGTGGATATAGGTCAAGATTGGCTTCTTTCTCTGGTTCTTTGCCATAAACCTGGCAGGTGGGACATGGTGGTGAGGTGGGCTGTGTGGATACCTCACAGTTGAAATTGGTTTAATTTAACAAACATCTTCTGATTGCTCTTTCTGCTCGATGCCCCACTCGCCCCCCCCCCCAGCTCCAGCCCTGACCTCTCTGCTGGGTTCACTGTTCAATTCATATGATTTATGAGACACCTTACACCGACATGCTGATGGCATTATTGGGGTCATTAATGCAATCAAATCTATCTTGTACACTATAGTGTAACTGGTTACTGCTCTCTCTCCAATCAAGCTCTCTCTTGTTCGTCACCATATCCCTGGTGCCTAGCACAGAGCTGGGCACATGGTAGGTGTTCAATAAAGATTTGTTGACTGAGTGGAGGAAGAGCTGTCTCTGACATGCTGGGAAGCCAACTGCCCTGCTGAGTTCATGAAAAGACATCCCAATCTTGTGGAGAACCATTGTGAGTCAGCATGCACTGAAGTTCGGTTTCAACCTTCCAACTCAGCCAAACCCTTCTATTTAATCTGGCTTCAGCCTTTGGAAAGTCAAAGAGTTGAATGCCTGTTTTTGTGTCATTCCTGAGATCCTTGAAATTGTGCAAGATCAATCCAAATGATCCTGTTATCAGGAGAAGGATCTCATATTTAACCGAAGTGAATACAAATAAGACAGGTCATATGGATTTATTATTAATATTGGAACATTTTCAAACATATGTAAGCATTGTAGGAGTAACCCAAACTGAAAATTCTTTTGTGCTTTATATACTGAGATTATTTCAATCAGTTGGTGAATACACATATATTTATCATTCCAGGATAAAATGGTACAATAATTAGTGATAATGGATAACTTACTTTTATGTGCAAAATAATTGTTGTTTCAAATATTTAAATCAATAGGAAATAGACTGATAGTTAATATGAATACTAAGAGAGAGGGTGTTAGCTCGATAACTTTAGAAAAAACGTTTTATTCTTTTGGAACCAATAAATGTTCATGCAAATTTAAATAAGAGTACTAGGAAGAGTAATAGAGATTCAATTATCTTTTATATTTCCACTCTTTATGGAATTGTTCGGCAGAGTAGCATTTTTATTGTTAAACAAAATAGCTTTTAAGAACTTTATTTAACTTGTGGTTAGTTATTTAATTCCATTCAGACTATTAATCGTTTAAGAAAAAGTCCATTTAAGAATTATTCATATCTTGTGGGATCAATTAAAAGCAAAATGTCTGTTTTGCCTCCTCAGAATTTTACAGGGAAGAGACATTCTGGTATCAAGCACAAGAAAGTCCATGATAAACTAACTTCTATTCAGACATGACAAAGAAGATAAAAAGTGTGAAGGAAAAAGAAAGGTGGTTAAAATTAAATAAGTATCTTTGCACTTTTATAAATACAAATATCTAATTCTTCCACTAACCCCAGTAGAAAATGAGAGGCTACTTAGTGTGGCAAATGTGCAGCATATAATTGGGACAGCAGTGTAACTGCTGATTACAGGGAAAGCAGAATTCCTGCACATAATGTCCAGTCTCTTTAAAGTTAGGTTTATTGCGGGTAGGGGGTATAGCTCAAACAGTAGAACGCGTGCTTAGCATGCTTGGGGCCTGGGTTCAATCCCCAGTACCTCCTGTAAAAACAAACAGAACCTGTCCCTGATGGCCAAAAAAAAAAAAAAAAAAAGTTAGGTTTATTGAGGCATACGTTATGTACAGAAAAATGTATATTTTAGGTGTATAGTTCTATGAATTTTGACAAATGTGTACACTTGGGTAACCACCAACCTCTATCAAGATAGAGATGGAGGGTATAGCTCAGTGGCAGAGCACATGCTTAGCATGCACGAGGTCCTGAGTTCAATCCCCAGTCCCTCCATTAAAATGAACAAACAAATAAATAAACCTAGTTACCTTCCCCCCACTTTGCCCCCCAAAAGATAGAGAATAGTCCTGTCATCCCAAAAACTTCCTTCTGGTCATCAGTGAATGGGTTTCTGTCCCTGTAGTTTTGGTTTTTCCAGAATGCCATATAAATGGAATCAGATAGTATATAGCTTTTTGTGTCTGATGTCTTTCACTTAGCATGATGCTTTCAAGATTCATCCATGTTGTCTGTACCTTAATTTGTTTATCCAGTCACTGGCTGATAGACTTCTGGGTTGTTTCTATTTGAGGGGGTGGGGTTTGAATAAAACTGCTATAAAGATTTGTGTACAGGTCTTTGTTGGAGGTCTGTTTTCATTTCTCTTGGGGAAATACTTAGGAGTGGGTTAGGTCTTACAGCAAGTGTATTTTAACTTTTAAAGTGACTGAGAATTTGTTTTCCAAAATGGCTATACCCATCAGGAATGTACGAGAGTTCTTGTTGTCCTGTGTTCTTACCAGTGCTTGGTATGCCAGTTTAGAATTTTTATCCATTCTAATAAGTATGTAGTGATCTCTTACTGTGGTTTTAATTTGCATTCCTCTAATGGCTAATTATGTTGTCTTTTTATGTACCTATATGCTATTCGTGAAGTGTCTGTTCTCATGTTTTGCTCGTTAAAAAAAATATTTATTTATTTAATGGCAGTACTGGGAATGGAACCCAGACCTCATGCCTGCTAAGCAGGCACTCTACCACTGACATTTTGCTCATTTTTAAATTGTTTTGTTTGCTGTTCACTATTGAGTTGTGAGAGTTCTTCGTATATCTAGATAAAATCCTTCATCAGATATATGCATAAAAATATTTTTTTCCAGTCTTTGGCTTGTCTTTGCATTCTCTTAGCAGTGTCTGTAGAAGTGCAGACGTTTTAAAATTTGATAGTCCAGTTTATTAATTCTTTCTTTTATGATTTGTGCTTTTGCATCTGATTTTTAAAATCTTTGCGTAACTCAAGATCACACATATTTTCTCCTGTGCTTTCTTCTTTATGTTTTAAGGTTTTCCATTTAAATCTATGATCCATTTTGAATTAATTTTGTATGTGGTAAGAAGTGTGAGCCAAGATTCTTCTTATTTTTTTACATAGGTGTGTTGAAATGTTCCAGCATCATTTGCTGAAAATATGTTCTTTCTTCTTTGAATTATCTCGGCACCTTTGTTTAAAACCAATTGACCATATGTATGTGGGTTTATTCTGGACTCTTTTCTGTTCTAGTGATATATATGTACACCCCCCATATATATATATATATATATATATATATATATATCCTTTTACCATAAACATAAATAATAATAATATAATTATATTTATATAATAATTAAATAATATAAGCTTTTTTTTTTAGCTTTGCATTAAGTTCCAAAGTCAGGCACTGTGAACCCTCCAACTTTGTCTTCTTTTTAAACAATACTTTGACTAGCTTAGGTCTTTTGCTTTTCCATATAAATTTTAGAACAAGCTTGCCAGTTTCTATTAAAAAAAAAGAAACTTCTGGGGCTCATTTGAGATTGTATTCAATACATAGATAAATTTGAGGAGAACTGATGTCTTAATTTTAAGTCTTTTAACCCATGAACACACATCTGTCTATTTGGGTCTTCGTCTCATCAATGTTTTGTAGTTATTAGCATACGAAACTTGCATAAATTCATTAAATTTATCCCTGATTATGTCAGGGTTTCTGTTACTATTGTAAATTTCAATTTCCTCTTGTTTATGTCTGCGTATGGAATACAATTGATTTTTGTATATTGATCTTGAATTCTGCAACCCTGCTTAACTCATAAGCTCTAATAGCTTTTTAAAACAGCGTTATTCAGATATAAACCACACATCATCCCATTTGCCCACTTAAAATATACAACTCAATGGCTTTTATATTCACAGAATTGCTCGACTATCACCACAATCATTTTAGAACATTTTCAGCACCCCAGTGAGAACCGCTCATATCCTGTGTTAACAGTCACTTCTCATTTTCCCCGGTCCCCTCAGTCTTAGGCAAATAATAATCTACCTTCTGTCTGCATGGACTTGCCCATACTGAGCATTTCATATAAATGTATTCATACAATATATGGTCTTTTATGATTGGTTTCTTCTACTGAACGTAATTGTTTTCAAAGTTCACTCATGTTGTAGCATATATCAGTACTCGATTTCTTTTTATCAGTACTTGATTCCTTTTTATAGCTGTGTATTAACCAGAGGAGAAACAGAACCAATTGTACATACATACTATATATATATATATATATAGTATGTATGTACAATTGTATATATACAATTATATATATATATATAAATAGAGAGAGGGAGAGAGAGAGAGAAAGATAGGAGATATGTACTATGAGAAATTGGCTCATGTATGCATGGAAGCTGAGACGTTCCATGATCTGCCATCTGCAAGCTGTAAACCCAGGGAAGTTGGTGGTGTAATTTAGTCCAAGCAGGAAGGCCTGAGAATTAGAGATGCTGATCAGAGAATCAGAGATGTAAATCCCATGCTGAGGGCAGGAGAAGATGAGATGTCTCATCTCAAGCAGTGAGGCAGAAAATAAAAAGGATGAGGGGCAAATTCCTTCTTTCTTCATTCTTGTCCTATTTGGGCCCTCAGTGGATTGGATGGTGGGCACCCACATTAGGGAGGGCAAACTACTTCACTGAGTCTGGCAATTCAAATGCTAATCTCTTCTGGAAATACCCTCCCAGACACACCTGGAAATAATGTTTAATCTGGACTCCTTGTCACCAGTCAAGTTAACATCAAATGAACGATTGCAGGCTGAGTAACATTCCAGTGTACGAATATACCACATCTCATTGATCGGTTCATCTGTTAATGGGCATTGTGTTGTTTCCAGTTTTTGAGTATTATAAATAATGCTGCTATGAATGTTTGTGTTCAAGGATTTGTGTGGACATATGTTTCAGTTTCTGCAATTGTTGAGTAGAGTTTTCTATATAAGTTGGTTTTATCTATGTAGTACATAGTGTTAAGTCCTATATTTCCTTATTAATCTTCTGTCTATCTGTTGTTGCTCCATCCATTAATGATAGTAGGATGTTGAAATTTCCAACTATTATTGTAGAATGCTGTTATGGACTGATGTTTGTGTCCTCTGCAAATTCATATTTTGGAACTCTAGTTCCCCCAGAGTGGCTATATTTGGAGAGGGGGCCTCTAAAGAAGTAGTTAAAGTTAAATGAGGTCATAAGGATAGGGCCCTGATATGGTAGGATTAGTGCCCTTCTACGAAGAGATACCAGAGAGCTCTCTCTCACTGCATGCACTCAAACAAGAGGTCACGTGAGCACACAGGAGATGGTGGCTGCCTACAAGCCAAGAGAAGAGGCCTTGGAATGAAAACTACTTTGCTGGCACCTTGTTCTTGTACTTCTCAGCCTTCAGAGCTGTGAGAAATAAATTTCTGTGGTTTAAGCCACCCAGTATGGGGTATTTTGCAGTAATAGCCTGAGCAGACCAGTACAATGATTTCTCCTTTTAATTCTGTTAGTTTTGCCTCATATTTTTGGGGCTGGGTTTTTAGACATGTATATGTTTATAATTGTCATATTTTCATGGTGGATTGACTCTTTTATCAATATATGTCCTTTGTCTCTTGTAAGTTTTTGTCTTAGAAACTCTATTTTGAATATTAAAATAGCTACCCCAGTTGTATTTTAGTTACAATTTGCACGGAATATCTTTTGCCATCCTTTTACTTTCAATCTACTTATGTCTTTGGGTCTGAAGTGAGTCTCTGGCAGTCAGC